GGTTGCGGAAATAGATTAAATTAATTTGAATACCTCCACAATGGTTTCCTTCTTCTTATTATTAATGTTTTATTTATTTTTTTTGTTACTTTTTTAGAAATTGCGATTTCAAATTTCAATTTTCTTAAAAATTAAGTTTTCCAGATAAATGAAATTGTATATTGGCCTAGTTATGACTAACTAAATTTTATTGTGACGAATACGTGATTTCCATTAGAAAATAATGCTCAATGAATTTTGTCCTCTTAGATCGGTCTCACTGTGCTGCCCTAGTAATGCTCTGAAGATATCCTAAAGTCTCCTTTTCTCAAGGACTTGCTCTGTATACATCCAGGATACGTCAGCACTTATTGGCAATCCTCCAGTTCTACGAAACATCAACATTCTAAGTTTTCATTGGGTTCACCTTGCAGTTGTTTGATCTAGGGAAGAAAAAGAAAGAAAAAATAGCTTCAGAAAAGTCAGTATTACTATTAATGTAAAACTAGATATTGCAAGTTAGCAATTAAGTTGTTTTATCACTAGATAACGTAACATTCCACTCATAAATATTAATACCTAATATGTACTCAACTAAAAAAATATAGTAAATCATCATCCCTATGTATAAGTACTGATTTAAAAATGTTCATACTTCTAATAATTTTGTTCTAATCTATAAGTATTCCATAAATTTGGAAATTCCTTTTTACTGATTACTGGCACTGATCACGTCGATATTTAACGAATCAAGCACGGTTTTAGATACAAAATTGTATAATAAAATGGTTTTTGCTGTTTAAAAAAATTTAAAACGTGAAATTTTAAATTTTTTTTTTTTTTTTTTTTTAAAAAAATTTAAAATTTCACGTTTTAAATTTTTTTTTTTTTTTTTTTAAAACGTGAAATTGAACCACGAATTCTCGTGGCCGAACCCTGCTGTCTGCACTCAATTCCCAACGTTTTCACCTCCTTTCCCCCAACTCTCCTACCTACTGGCCCACAGATCCCAACCGTAATCCTGATCTTCTAGATTTCTTTATCCACAGCGGCTTAAGTCCCCTCAATTGTTCCATTACACGTCTAAATGAACTTTCCTCCGACCATAGTCCTCTAATCCTTAATGTTTCACTTGAACCTGTTCCCAAACCTTCTCCACCGTCATTCATTAGGGGCCCAGTAAACTGGGACCTTTTCCGCCAAATAATCTCCGATAATATTGATCTCAACATATCCCTCAAAACTCCCGATGACCTTGATAGTGCCGTAAATTCCTTTACTACCACAATCCAACAAGCCGCCTGGACTGCCTCCTTTCCAAAAGACTCCTCCAGAATTCCTATAAAGACCATTCTACCCCAACACCTCCTTAACCTAATCCGCACCAAACGCCGTGCCAGATTATTATGGCAACGATCCCGACATCCTACCGACCGCTGCTCCTATAATTACTACTGCAAACAATTAAAACTGGAATTAGCCACCTTCAGATCACAATCCTTCAACTCCTACCTATCCTCCCTCTCTTCTCGCGACAATTCCCTTTGGAAAACCACAACAAAAATCCTAAATCCTCACCGCATTTCCCATCCTCTCCGACGAGGTGATGGCTCCTGGGCAGCATCTGACAAAGATAAAGCTGAGGAGTTCGCCATTCACCTATCCAATACATTTATTTCACATCCGGAATCCCATCCTGCCCACACCGTAACAGTAGAAGAACTCCTTACATCACCAATCCCACTTTCCTTGCCCCCAAAAGCTATTCATCCTTCCGAAGTAAAATTTCAATTAAAAAAAATAATCCTCCGTAAAGCTCCTGGACATGATCTCCTTACACCTCAAATCCTTCGACAACTTCCATCCAAAGCAGTCATATTCCTTACATATATCTACAATTGTATCCTACGCACCACCCACTTCCCTCTGTTATGGAAACACTCCACTATTATCCTTTTCCCAAAACCAGGAAAACCTCTCAATAGCTCAACATCCTATAGACCAATCAGCCTACTCCCAATCCTTTCAAAAATTTTTGAAAAGATCCTTTTGAAACGAATCCTACCCATTATAGAATCCCAAAATATCCCTTCCCATCAGTTTGGTTTTCGCTCTCAACATTCTACTGTTCAACAAGGACTCCGAGTCGTTGATCATATTTCCTCAGCCCTAGAAAACAAGGAATACTGTTCGGGTGCCTTTCTGGACATTGCACAGGCATTTGACCGGGTATGGCACTCCGGACTGCTCTCCAAGCTTAAAATCCATTTACCTCAGTCCTTGTACCTAGTCCTCCGATCCTACCTCTCTGACCGCTCCTTTCGAGTTCGCTGTGGAACAGAATTTTCCAACATCTACTCCGTTAAAGCCGGTGTTCCCCAAGGCAGCGTCTTGGGTCCCGTGCTTTACATCCTCTTTACTGCTGACATCCCTGTTCATCCCGATACTTTTCTTGCAACATTCGCTGACGACACCGCAATCTTATCATCCAACTCTGATCCCGAAATAGCATCCTTAAATCTCCAAAGTCATCTCACCTTGATTGAGCACTGGTGTAATAACTGGCGCATTAAAGTTAATGAATCTAAATGCCAACACATTACTTTTACACTCCGACGCAATTCCTGTCCACCAGTACTCTTTAATTCCATCCAGCTTCCTTATTCAGACACAGTCCGGTATCTTGGCTTTCATTTAGACCGAAGACTAACTTGGAACCCGCATACTAGACTCAAAAGACAAGAACTCAACCGACGATACGGCCAACTATACCGACTACTAAGCAGAAAATCTAAACTTTCCATTGAAAACAAGCTACTGATCTACAAGACAATACTGAAACCTATTTGGACTTACGGACTAGAACTGTGGGGATCAGCAAAATTTTCTAACATCAAGCGCATCCAATCCTTCCAGTCTAAAGTCCTTCGAACAATAGTCGATGCTCCTTTCTATGTATCCAACAAAACCCTACATCATGACCTTAACATCCCATTTGTCCTAGATCTTATCCCAGAAAAGTTCTCCAAATTTCACCAGAACCTTACTTACCACCCAAATCCTCTTGCACAATCCCTATCAAGCATCTCCCATCCCTATAATCCTCCAAGAAGGTTGAAACGGCAGTGGCCTCGCGACCTTTTGTAAATTATATAAATTGGAGTTCTGGCAATGGCCAGATTCTTCACTCAAGACATGTGTGTATGTGGCTAAAGTGCTCTCGACCAATCTCCGCTGGCTTTAGTACCAGTGACGCGGTTGGAAGAGTAGCGCAGGGTTCTCCTGGAGTTCCCTCGCCTGATTGTATATAGGTATGCATGTTATTTTTTTTTTTTTTTTCCTTAGTTTTAATTTTCTTATTTTTTAGGTTATTTTATTTTATTGTCTATTGTATATACTTTTGATTATTATTTTGTTCTATTTATTTTATTTTTTTGTACATATGGTGTGAATGTCATCCTACCTCACTATAACCAATGTCGAACAGACAGATTGTTATAATACTCAATAAAGAAATTTAACTTTAAAAAAAAAACGTGAAATTATGTGAGATGGGTAAATAACTTATTTGATGGTTTTTTTTGTTTTCTCTTTACCATACTTCATCGAGATGATTCATGAAACTACTTCTAGTAATAGCTGTAACATTTTCTCGGGTGTTAATAAGAATATTACTGTCGACTCCAATTATGGTATGGGTATAATGAAGATTATAGCATTGCTAAAACGTAGACACGATATCGCTGACGACACACCATCTTTCTATAATCGACTTAGTTTTTCATCTCAAATTCATCTAATTCTTATAATTTTGCCATTGTTATTCAGACAGACTATACTTTGTTGGAGATAAATACTTAAACTAAGCGGAGCCTTCTGCATCCTTGTACATGACGCTTCTAGTCCGCAGAAGCATTCGATCCTGTAAGTTACACTCAATGAAGACATCTTGTTCTTCAAGGTTGTAACCTCTGGGCAGAGGTCCTTCAAGGTTGTATTGCAGATCCTTAACTATACCTTTCATTAACGAAACATCCCTATTCATTCCAGCTCTGAGCGTCACTACATTGATGGTAAAGGTATTTTCAACTAATGATGATCCGTTAATTTCAAACAAAACTCTCCAGTCATATATAAAGGTACTTTTTCCTCGTTGCGACTATTGGCGTTTATAGTTCAACGATGATCATGCAGTAGTAATCACAGATCACTATTTCTCTGATTGAGGCTATTTTCCTTTAAGCGTTAGTACATAGAATCGTAGGCTTTCGTCGTCAGTTCCTGATGATATTTGCAGATATGAGGGGGATTCGATTATAACAATTCAATATCAGATTATTTTTTAATAAACTACAAAATAAGTTTTAATGGATATTATTCAAAACTAATTAAGAGTTGATTATGATTTCGTCATAAAAACTATGAGAATAATTAGACATACAATTTTTAAATTGTATATGTAAACATGTCACGATTTCATTGGTATGCTTTATGAAAAATACCAATTTTTTAAAAAAAAGTAAATTATAATCAATTGTAGTTCCTGGTGATGGAATAAAAGTCTGAAACATTGAAGAATAAAATATTTAATGAAGATATTTATGCAGTTGCATATTTTGTTGCATTAACATATATAATGATAAAAACATATTGTAATGATTTCAATTAATTAAAAAGCTCCCTTAATGCGGCATTGCGTAATTAACTTACAAATTAACTATAATTTTCATATTCCCTCCCACCTTATCCTCTTTAAACTTTTTAACACTACTGTTTCAATTTAATTTTTTTTTTCTTATTTCCTTTACAAGTGGTAAATACAACTAACTACTGCTGCTAGTTATAAAAATACATTTTTAATATTACAACACATAATAAAATGAACTAGGAATATACTTAATGATAAATTATTACACAAATTTGTTCCTTTATTAAGCTGCAATGGCAGATCTACAAGGAGGGCATTTCAGCCAATTATTGAATTTTTTTTTTATCGGTCCATATTTGTTTATGCGAGTGATATGAGTTAAATATTTAAACAATATGATATATTTCGTATGTGGGATACCACGCCCACGGAGGCCGCAAGTGGCCTCTATGACGTATTTGCGCCCTCGTAGGCCACGTGCGGCCTTCAAATGTTTTCTGGGATCTAGTGCAAGAATTGATTAATATTAAAATTTTTAAATGACTACAAATTGGAAATTAAAAGAATCAAGTTGAATATATGTATGCGGGTGTGTGTATTTACTGATAAATAAAAATACCAACGGTAAAATATAAATAATTATTGCGGCCTCCATTATCTTTTCCTTAACCTTACTGCGGCCTCTAATGTAAAAATGTTGTCCACCTATGATATATCCTCTTTTCAAATTATGATGTATATACAGCCACTAATGCAAGCACTTAAGTAAGGAATTTATCTACGAATGCACTATTGTTTCTGTAATTGTCCTTTCTTTTTTTTTTTTTTTTTTCTTTTTTTCCTTTTGCCTTCAAGGACCACTTAAACATCGTGTCATATACATTTTTTTTTCTTGCTTCTTCCAGAATTACTGTAATTAAAAAATAGTCCCCTCAAATTAAATCTTGTATCTCCTACTTTTAAAGAGCAACATTTTATTCTATCTTTCTTTGGTTTGAATAAACTTGTTACTTATTTTATTTCCAAATACACACCACGGATATATTTTGTTATCATTAAAAAATATACGACTCGACGAAGCATAAATATTAGCTTCTTGCCCTATCTCAAGATCAGCTGAACAGTGGCACATCTTGAAGTGAGAAGCACTCTATATTTCACTGTCGAAGAAATAAAATAAAATTCACACTCCCATCGTGTTGTTAATAACAAGAAGATTAGAAACAACTTCTATTTGGTAGTGTTAGAGATGTTTTTTATCTGCCAAGCTGACTTAAAGTACTAATTTTTAGATTCAACGTTTCCAATTTAGCTAAGCCAACAAGACGTTTTTTTTTTACAGCTGTAATGACAACTTTTCAGAGTGGTCCTAGGATCGATATATCATTTCTCAATCCGATCGTTTATGCTTAAATTTCAGACCGAATTTAAATGTTTTTCTCTCTTTAAGGTGTAAATAACTAAAAATGCTTGTTGATGCCCATCTCTACCAGTATATTTTCATGTAAATATTTCTTGCGCTGTTTAAGACGTCACATTTTTCATCAAATTTAAATTTAGGAGAGAAAGAGATTCTTTATAGCCTTAGGAAGGTCTAAGGCCCTTTCTTACATAGAGGGAGAGAGAGAAGTATAATATCGATTATATAACATTGACCAAAGCCATTAACGAAATTATAGTAGATGATCTATTCTGAAATCGTATTATTTCTTCTTCATATTTCATTTTCAATTTATAAGAGGTCAATTTCTTATTCAGCCCATAGCATTCTAAATCATTCATTGTTGTTTTTAGGCAGTCAGAATAAATTGCTATTTGACCAAATAAGATGGGCGACATCACATTACTTTAAGGCAACAATCATTGGCTATATATATATCTCTGATATATCAGGCAGTTTTATAAGAAGTCCGAGGCAGTTCCTTTTCATGCAACAAACATGGCAGTGTCTCCAGCCGCCATTGCAGAAGCCGAACTGGCAAACATCTTCAAAAGAGTTCACTTTTCGTCCAAAATACTTGCAGCTTTCCCGTTTAAATTGAAGGGCCGGGCTTACAGCATTTCTCCCTTGGAAATGCTGTACTCCATCATCACCCTCACGGTGTACGGTTACATCGCGGTAGTCACGGGGTTCGACCGCATCAGGGAAAACACGAACCTCATGATGATACTTTCATCCGCATTACCACATCAAACCGTATTTGCCATCCTATTGATAAATATAATATGGCTCGCTTATAACATGAAAACTATGTCTACCGTTTTCCAATCCCTTTTGCAAATCCAAATAAAAACGCCTGTTGCATTAAATTTCAGACACAGGTACATGATGCTGTTCAGTACAACGTTTGGTGTAATATTGGTCTCCACATATATCTACTATAGGAAGAACTATTTCACTAAAGATTATGGAAGCATCGTTTTCGTGTTTCTGGTTACTTTTGCGATCGTGGATCAGTTCTCGGCTCTTCTGGCAGTGGCCAGGCTCTATTACGAGCACATCTGCGACAAGCTCACGAACCAGAATGCAGAGCAGTTCACTGATATCCATGACCTTCTGGCTCAGTGCTGCATCGCTATCAACGACTGCTACTCTCCGCAACTCCTTTTGGTCTCTTTGGCTACTGTAGTATACAACGTGTCCTTGCTCTACATCACGATTGACGAATTCAAAGGACAGGGAAAGTTTAATGTCCCATGTGTCTTGGCAACGTTGATGTTCTTCGCCATCGTCATGCATTTCACAAGAAGTTGCAGGCTGACGAAAATTCAAGTATCTATTTCTGATTTAATATTTACTAAAATAAAAAAAGAAATACTACCGAAATAATCCAACTTATGGGTACATTTATACCAAAATAATTTGCTAGATTAGTGATATTAATGTCTATGAATATTTAAACTATGATTAGTAGTTGGGTGGGTATCTTCATCCCCCAATGGACTTTAATACTCATTAGATGATGGTAGCAGAAATGTGTACAGTGGAAGTCTCTCCACTACTACTCCATAGATTATCAATTTCATTAACAATCTACCAATATTTTATATACCAATATCAGTTTATATTACATGGTAATAATAATAAAATGTCATTTTATATACTGTATGGTATGGCATTATAAGGTTAATTTTATATATTTTTTTATTTAATCTTTATTTGTTTTGAGGGAAGAACCCAATAAAAATAGAGTGTATCTTTGTATAACAAATATTAATACCCTTATGGTATTACAATTTTTAGTTTTTTTTTTCTTTTTATACTACATTACAGATATTTCTACAATCTTACAACATGGATAACTTAAAAATTATATTTGTTAAAAAATCAGACAGTTAAATCCCTCCCCCCATTAAGGGTCTTTGGGTGCACCCTCTACCTGAGGAAGTATGATTTCAAGGATAACAGTTGTGCAGGGAGGTGATGGGGCTGATATCACCCTAAACCACCAGGTTTTTTCTCCCTTAATTATTTTTTTAATTCAAGGTACCCACTTCATAGAGGCTGGGTGTGCCCCAGGAGGGTCTCCCAATTCCAGGGTCGATTCACAGCTAATGGAAAATTACTAGTCATTAGCTGGATTTGAACCCAAGATCTTGAGCTCTAGAAGTCAGTGTTAACCCACTGAGCTTCACCACTCCCTATTAACATTAATATAAAATCTAAAGGTGTCAACAAAAAAAATACACAATAACAATAAATACATTTTATTTTTGAAATATTAATATTAACTACATTTTAAAATTAAATTAAAAGATTACTCCCACGAACATAGAAACCAAACAAGAAATATGACTTGAACAGATTACAAGGACAACCGACATCCAATATACATTTTTCTATAATATTTAAAGGACAATATTCCAGATTACCCAACGAATTCTCCATAGTTTGATATATTAGAGATGATAAAATATAATGTTTTCATATCTTCTATCTTCTATAGTGGTTGTCTTAAATATTTCCACCCCATTAAGATTTCCCAAACCCTGGTAAATCCTTACGCTAAAACTATTTTATATTGGGCATTTAATTAATACATGATAAAGTGTCTCTTTTTCCAGTGTTGCGCATTTTGCACTCAACTTGTGGAGTGATTTTTATAATTTTATTGTTTACGGAAACCTTGATCATATATTTTATCGAGAAGCAGATCTGTATTAATAATCTGGTATATTTGAAATTAGCCGTTTTCAATAAATCTGATCATTGTTAAAAACTGGTTCAAATGTACACTATAAGCTGAGCTATGCAATGTTTTCTTACCACCATCTTGCAAATGTCATTTATATTTATTTAATATCCTGCCAATATCTGTTCTAATTATGGCTGTGTCAGTTTCATAAATTAGATCGCCTTCCCCAATAGTATCTAATAATATTTTCAGATGAGAAAACCAATTATATTTCGATAGAGCAGGATTAGATTGGTAAAATTTATTTCTTAGCGTTTCGAAAAAATTTTAGGGTATCTAAATTCCTGCATTTCCACAAGCCTAACCAACCAATTCGAGGGAGATTTCATAACATTGAAACTAATATTAATAGACTCTGTTTCTAAGCATATTAAAAAGTCTGGGGTGGATTTACAAAGAGAAAATGTCTTTTTAAAAAAAATTATATTGACATTTTCTAAGAGCTCTATGTATCCAGAGTCTCTATACATGAGCATAATATAGCAAAGATGTATTAATAATGGTTTACAATTTTTCTCTCACCTTCCTGGAGCTTATGTTAATTTTATTTTCCAGCTTTAATTTTTGTATATTGATGCCTTTCAAATGACCTTTCTCCAAAACAAAATGTAGAGATTGTTTACCAGAAATTCCAATCTCCAATCTCTATATTTCCTCCCCTTTTACTTTCAAAAAATCAACAAAAGTGAGGAATTTAGTGACACATTTTAAAGAAAATTATTGGAGCATCCAACTGGCAACACATATATGGGCAACATGCTTTTCTGTTCAGTCATTCATTTCAACTTATTCATACAGAGTTAGGGTTTAGCATATCACCGAAACCAAATAAAATCTATTAAAAGCTATTTTTCTTTCATTTTTACTTTAGAAATGTATCTTTTTTTCTCTTCTTTTTAGTCAGAAAGATTCAATAAACTCCTCTACAGACTTATCATAAACGAAGAATCAAGAGAACTAATGAGAAATGTAAGTATTTTTGAAAATTAAACTGTAATTATTCCCAGAGTAAATGATTAAGTATAATGATGATAATAAAATTGATTTTAGAAACGTATCATGCTCCATTTCAAAGGGACAAAGGAGCTTCAATTTTCTGCAATTGGTTTTATTAATGTAGATTATCCTCTAATTTGTTCTGTAAGTACTGACTTCAATTTATACAGTAATATAATATTTGAAAGTTTATATATTGATAAAAGCTGTTGTTAAACAGTTTTACTACCTATTTTCAGATGGTGTCTACTGCAACAACTTACATTCTTATTCTGGTTCAGTTTTCTAATGAGAAGTAATTTATCTCCAGTTTTTACACAATGTCCTCATAAGGATTTAGTCTTGCTTTAAAACACATTACTGTGGTGTGAAAAACACAAAATGGATCTTATTCAAAATAAATATTTTATCCAATAATACTTTGTGCTGTTTAGATATTGGGTTTATGAACCGTTAGCAAATAATAGACTTGCTTAGTTTTAAGGTCGTGAAAGATTTGGTGTCTTTATAAATGTTTCATGTCAAACTTTGTCTAACATTGATGCCAATTTCATTATACGAGTACATTCAAAACTCATAATAAAAGTAATCTTGAGTCCTGAAAAAAATCCAGGACTCAAGTTTAAAAAATTTCTAATTTTCACCAATTATTAAGTTATACCATACCATACTATCTGGATAATATAAGAAACTTTAATTTTTGTTTTATACAACACAAACCAAAAAGGCTATTTTTAAAAATCATAACATATTTTAACAATTAACTAGCGTTAGAAGATGTTAATTCATTAATATTAATGATATAACCACAGAGATTGGATTATCATGCAGTAACATATTTAGTTTTCTTTTTTTTTTTTTTTGTTCTAAAGTAGTTCCTAAAACATATTTCTGGATTAAGTCATTTAGACATAGGTAAATTAATTTTATTTCTTTTCAGTATAATTGTGGATATATGTTTATACTAAAATACTTTGGTAAGTACAGAAAGTACAAGTAATATCAAAGTTTGCACCTTGTTGGGTTCAGTTTTTTTCCTGGAATGGTCTGCATTAGTTAGCCACAGTTGAAAAGCCTAAAAACACATCTGTACACCTTTATATTACTGTAGGGATCCCAAAGAAAGAAGCCATAGGAAACTGTTAATAACTAATCAAAAGTTGAAAATTTTAAATTTGTCTTATTTTATTTTTATTTATTTGTTTCAATATCAACAATAAAATTGAATATCAAAAACAAATTAATTATTATTCAAGAATATTCACAAAATATTAAATTAATTCCCCCTCTTGAAGATTGAGTTTCATCATTAAAATTCATTACATGTTTTTATTAAAAACATTGTCTTTTCTTCTATAAATCACTGTTTTTATTGAATAAATTATTATTAAGTGTTATAAATTATTATTTTCAACCCTTAGAAACTAAAACAAATACAATTTTAATGTTAACTATTATATTATGTACTGGTATTGTTGCTGTATATATAGTTTTTTATAGTATATAGTTTATTTTGTTTTCTTTAACGAGTTTATTGAGTATTAATAAAGTCTACTATACCAAAGAGTAACAACTGTTCATTCATATAATAAGTGCATACAGAAGGAAAATAAATATAAATAATTTAAGTAAAGAAAACAAAAGTAAATAAGATAAAAAGAATTAATAAATGAAATAATAGATTAAAGCTGAGTAAAAATAAAATACATTCATACCTCTGTACAATGTTTACACTTGTCCAGGGGACTCTGAGTGAAGGTTTTTCCTTCATATGTGAAAGGAAAAGCAGAACTCCAGGAGATCCAAGTCACTGGTATTAGAAGCCAACTCGAGCGATACATGCTCGGTTCTTGAGTGAAGAATCTGGCCATTGCCAGAACTCCAATATATAGATATTTAGAAAAGGTCATAGGCAACTACCATTTTAACCTCCATAGAAGATTATAGTGATGGCTGGAGCTATATATGGATTATGATTTAGGAAGGTCATTAAGCAGAGTTTTTTGGGTTACATAGAAAGAAACATTGACTAATGTTCTAAGAACTTTAAACTGGAAAGATTGAATGTGTTTAATGTTTGGAAGTTTTGCTATCTCCCACAATTCAATTCCATAATTCCATATAGGTTTCAGGATTGTATTTTAGATCAGCAGTTTGTTGTCAAAGGAATGTTCAGTTTTCTGTTCAATAGTCTACATAGCTTATTGTATTTTAAGTCAGGTATGTGAGTTCCATGTTAGTCTTTTGTCTTGGAATAAGCCAAGATACCAGAATGTGTCGAAGAGGTGAGGTGGTATCAAGTTAAAATAAACTGGCGCAGAGTACTTGCGTCGAAGAGTTAATATGTTTGCATTCAGACTCATTTAGTTGGATGCACTAATTATTACACTCTTGTTCAATAAGAGAAAGATGGTGTTGTAGATTTAAGGATGCAGTTTCAGGATCTGAGTTAGATGATAGAATGGCTGTATCATCCACGAATGTTGCCAGGAGGGTTTTAAGATGAGTAGGAATATCCTTAACCCAAGACACTGCCTTAAGGAACTCCCACCTCAATTAAATAACAGTTGGAAAATTCTGCACCATAATGAAGGAGTAAAGAAGTGGTAGGATCAGAGGATCGTTTATAGTAGGGCAACACTACTTTTGTATTAATAGTATTAAGTATTTAACTCAATTTTAAAAACATAAAATTTCAAAACTAATATATATATATATATATATATATATATATATATATATATACACAACATTTTTGATTTACATTTATGAAATTAGAGAGTATAAAATGGTAATTAGTAAGTAATTGAACTTAATAGATTTGTTGCTTATTACTGATTAGGTAAGTTGATCAAGTAGTTTGGTAATCTGTTTAATACTCTTTTTGAAGTATTTTTTGTTTTTAAGACTATTTAGGAAATATAATAATAAAGGAAATATGAATACAAAATTTATTAAACTATTTTTTTTTTAATAAACAGTCTTTTAATTACATTGATTGAAAAAGTTTCATAATACTTGTGAAGAATTAATGTAGGCAACAAACTCCAAGGAAGCTAGAAAAAAATTAAATCAATTAAACTTAAAATAAATTTCATATCAAATAAATAAGTTAAACTAATCGAACCAAATGATAAATGAAGTTATATTTTTTCACATAAACACTTACTTGGGATCAATATGACACTTAAATTGCATGTAAGATGCAGGACTATCAACAAAGACAGGCAATATGCAATGAATGAAATGACGGCATTTTCTTAAGCCTCTGCAGCTGGTTGAATTGAAAGCTATATCAGTCTGTAATAAAATTGAGCCAATTACAAAACATACATTTTAAATGAAAGGTACATGTATTTTAAGTTATACTTTACTTTTATTATATGTCAAAACCCATGAATGGATCTTGGCCTTTCTATTCAGACAAAAACAGATTAGTAACCTTTAGAAAAACCTATCAAAATTTTAATCAGCTAGTAACTGTATTAACTGGATGAATTTAGTTTTGGAGTCAGTGCCAAAAGTAAAATAAAAATCCTTAAATCAGAAAATAAGCATTGTTACCTTTAGTATCATTCAATACTGTCTTTAATTGTGTGTTTGTTTCTTTATTTTTTGTGGATATTTGAAGGAATCATTTTGGTCGCAGCACAGGTGTTATAAAACTTTATTATCTTATCAATAGGACATGATTATTTAACAATTAAGTTGTTGAATTCGACTAATATATAATATTACAATACTAAGTTTTCTATTAAAAAATTTTAGTTGGCAACAGTCTAGCCTAGGAAAAGAGAGAGAGTGATAGATGCAAAAACAGAGTATGAGTTGCTGAAAAGAGAGCAAATCAACCAATGTATTGAAGGCATTACTATGTATTAATGGCATTATTGATAATTTATTTTGTTTTTTAAGTTTTCGTTAATTAATTTATATTAAGCAATGATGATACTAACCTCATTTAAAGCAATAACAAAATGCTTATCAAGCAAAGAAGCAATCTTAGGTACTATAAAGAGGCCATCTTCAGATACAGTCTGATTGAGCCAAGTGACACTGGTATAAGAAATAGTTTCTGTTGCATCTTTTGAATCAACTGTAAGAGTTTCTGTCAACAAAATTGCAAAGAAAAATATTTGAGTCATGGTTGTGGATTGGCTGCTCAGAATTAAAATATTATAATTTATAAATTTAAATAAGTGTAAATGTTAACTTTTTTGTCCTCAATACGATGCAACATAAAATATATTTTTGAGATTTTACATTACATATTAGAATCTAAAATATTGAAATTTATCTAGTAATTAAATTATTGTATAATATTTGGAGCATACTAAAGTGTTATAACAAAATAATCAATCACTGCTGATTTTTTGTATATTTTAATTCTTGAACTTTCTGTTGTTAAATGTATAAAACTTACATTTTATTATGTTTTTTTTCAAACAATGCATTAATATGCTATCTACTGTTCAATGTAAGTAGAATTGAAACATAAATTAAAAGAAAAGAGTAATAAATAAAAAACTTAATGAATATTTATATAAATTTAATTTATATAAAAATTTAATATTTTTATACTATATTTTTATAGTATGTAATAATTTTATTTTAATTTTTTTTAATATTCATATAAATTAATATAAAATTAATGAAATAAAATATATTCAAGAGCTATCCAAGTACTCAGACCACTATGATGTGGGTTCGATACCCGCATGAGGAGAGAAACGTCCTCATCCAGAGATTCACAAGGTCAACAAACCCCGTGTTTTACTCCATAACTCCTGGTCCTATGGAAAAATGCTATGATAAAGCCAGTTATTATATACATCTGTGAGACCTAGAAACTAACCAACATTCTATAAAAGTATCGAAAGATTTGAGAAAAAATCTCCTGTGAGAGAACCGGAGTGATCTGGGATCAGAGTACTAACAAATGGAGGACAAGGATCAGTTAAGAACTGCTTACAGAAACGTCAATAATATCTCATGGTATGAAGACAAGAAGGTTAAGATGGGTAAGGCATGTGGCTAAGAGTAATTCATCAAGAAATCTCTACACAACAATGAATGCCTCAGTAGTAAGCATGAGACCCTTTTTAGGTCAAAAGCCAGATAGATATATCAAATCTCAAAGATGCTGTAGAGCAAAATGCAGATAACTGGAAAACAATAGCCCAAGATAGGTAGAGATGGAGAAGGCTGATTGAGGTGGCAAAAGATCAACATATAATAGTATTTTATTAAATGAATTATTCTATAGAATATTTGCCTTATAGAAGAATGACCTAACTAATATTAAGACTACATACTGCTAAATCGTAGGAGTTACCCAGCATCAATATAATTGAAGTAATAGTATCCTGATAATTTAAATGGCCAATTAATTAGACTGGGTAAGGAACAAAATTAAAAAAAATGTTATCAGTGCTATACTGAAGGATAAACCTCAGAGGTGTTGCCAACATTGTAATAATACACTTACAGTTAGCCATATTTTACAAGAAAATTCTTTTTATATCTCAAAGTTTATGATTTACACACACAATATAAAACATTCTAAAAATTTATGAAAACACATTTTATTGATGCAATGAAGTCAGTATTGCATTTCCTAAAATTAAACAATTCATTAAATAAAATTTAAAAGTTTTTTAAAAATATAGTTCATTGGCTAACAAAATTAAACACAGCCATTGATGACCTCGAAGTTTTACACCTTAAAAAATCAACAAACAACAACCTCTGGATTTCAAGTCTGATCTTGAGTACTTTGATTTTGGGGAAGTGAAATGGATAAAGCAATATATCTAAAGATTGTTAATGATATCTTAATATGGATATTAAATATCCAATTTTGTCATAACTTATTACAATTAATTCATTACAAGCTCTTCAGTTATTTATTATAAATAAATCAATTGAAATTAAAAGAAAAAAGTTTAGTTATACTAACCTTGTAAATTTGGAGCAACTGGAAATATAGAGACCATGGAGTAAGAAACACCTGAACCTAAAATATAATACATTTTTATTACAATATATTTTTTATTAAATAATTAGGTGAACATAAAAATAACTTTAATTTAAAAAATTAAGATTAATAAATAAAATTAAAATAAGAAGATAACATAAAAAGAGAGAGGAAAATGAAAAAAATAATGAGTACTAATCCTCTAACAATCTGATCAAAGTAAGGAATGTAAGTAATTAAAATGTTTAATTTTTTTATGCACAAGCTACACTTTTTATACATGTACTATTATTATTGTAATAGGAGAATTGCTATTCTAAGCCTCTGCCATAAATGGATAAATGTACATCAGAAACTGCCACCACACCTACAAAGATTTTATCACCAGTATTGGCATTGAGCAGGATCGCAGTTTAAGCCCGCTCCTTTTCATAATTATCTTTGACATCATACTCAAAATATCCATATAAAACATAAGATCGTTTCAACTGGGCATCAGAAGACTCCAAAAAGTAACATATACAAGATTAACTTTTGCTGACAACCTGGTCGTATTTGGGAGTAATTGTAGAAACCTCCAATTCAACCTCTACTTCTTCCAAGAAGAGCTAATGATAATAAATATTGTAATTTAGAGATTTTAATTAGAGAAAACCTTATTTATGAAGATAGGAAGGAAAAACGGCCATGCAGACAGACTATTAAGGCTTAATGGAGTGGAAATAGAACAACTGAGCGACTATAACTATCTTGGGTCCCATCTGAATGAATATGGATGAGTTGATGGCGAGATAAAGGAGAGGATAAGAACAGCAGAAATATGCTTTAAATCCCTGAAGACTAGTTTTCTGGGAAAGAAAGACATTTAAAGCATAACAAGAAAGTAGTCTAAAAAAAACAAATTTCTTCCCAATATGACACAGGCAAGCGAATTTTTGACCCTCACAACTAAACCCAAGAGTCAGATCCAAGCAATGGAAATGAGATACCTTATGAAGGTTGAGGAAAAGAGACAAGATGAGACCGTATGAGGAACATTAGGATTAGAGGGAGCCTCAATATGAAACCAACCAAGGAAGTATTGGAAGAACATCGCTTGAGGTGGTTTGGTCACAAGTTTCTATTATCTGAGAATCGCATTGCCAGATCTACCTACGAAGCTTGAAAGAGACCTTTGACAAGAGAGGTCTGGAATGGAGGTAGATAAAACAGCTGGATCAATATGGATCAAGCTCTATCGAAAGGCATCTCACACTGTGCTTTGGGCTGAAGTTCCCTCTCCCCTCCCCAAAAATGATAAAACATAACCATGTTTTACAGAAAAGGTATTAAAAACTGTCGCTTAAAGTATTCTTGTTCATGTAATTAAATTTAATAGGACTTCAAGAACCACTTCATATAGAGACACACTCTGACTCTGTTAAAAGAAGCAGAGCAAATCTGACTACAAGTCAATGTGGATAAAACAAAACACATGATAGTTAGCCAAAACATCCACCCTAATAACATGATCTGCGTGGACTCTAAGTCATTCCCGAAAGTAGACAGATTCAAATACTTCGGCTCCACAATAACCTCAATAAATGATCAACTAACAGAGATAGACCAGCAAATAACAAGCGAACAGATCATTATTCTCTCTATCAAAGGCACTGAAATCCAGAAAAATCTCCAGAAATCTAAAAATAAGGATGTACAATGCCGTGATTAAGCCAGTTCTGCTGTACGGTTGTGAAACCTGATCTCTAACTGGTACACTAGGAGCCAGAATTGAGAGATTCGAAAGAAAAGTTTTCCGTAAAATAACAGGACCTATATGGGACCAGAACCTTGACACATGGAGGAGAAGAATAAATAAAGAACTGCTGAAAGAAACGGGCCAGTCAATATCTCATGACATGAGGGCAAGGAGATTAAGATGGGCGGGGCATGTAGCTCGTAGCAATCCATCAGAACGCCTTTACACAACAATGAATGTTAGAGTAGTAGGCAAGAGACCACGTGGGAGGTCAAAAACCAGATGGATAGATAGGAAAAACAAAGATATGGCTGAGCTTCATGACACAAACTGGAAAGCAGTGGCCCAAGATAGGCAGAGGTGGAGAAGACTGGTTCAGGCGGCCAAAGATCTACAAGGTCTGTAGAGCCAACTGAAAAAAAAAAAAAAAAAAAAAAAAAAAAAAATATATATATATATATATATATATATATATATATATATATATATATATATATATATATTTAGAGAGAGAGAGATATATATGAAGAAAAAGTTTTCGGGCTGAACCCCCTCAAAATAAAATCCTGGATCCACTAGTGCTGGATGGTAAAGGGTCCTGATGGCATAAAATATCTTAACTGGAAGAATTAGGAAGTGACTGAAAGTATTTAAAAAATCTTTCATAAACAAATTTATGTTTTTGTTTCTGATCCTCCTTTATTTGAACTTTATTAAACAATAACTATATATAAGTATACACTTATACAAATATATTTCTTCTTGCTTGGTCCTTCTGCTGCTCAAGGGCATTTTAAGAAATGAGAATAGGTATGGAATAGAGGTGTAGGAAGATAGGAACCGGAATAGGTATGTAGGAAGATAGGAAGATATAAAAAGAAAAAAATAAGGTTTTAAGAAATGATATGTGGCTGACATCCACAAATCTAATTTCACCAATTGTCACCAATTGGAAGTAACTTATTTGAAATAAAAAAGTGTTTCCTTTAGAGAATGTCAATCTATACATTTTAATTTATTTTTTAAATTTATCTTATATTCTACAAATTAGAGGTTGAGTTTTTGAAAAGAAAAGGAAAACTAAACCTAGAAGTCTAAGTGCCAAATCCATCTTCACCAGACAAGCTTAATAAATTTGTTTATAATCATATTTATTTAGATAAAAAAAAAAAAAATAGATTTACTTAGAAAAGCTGATTTTTTATGGATTGTGGCGGCCCAGTTCATCCCTCCAAATGGACCTGAAATAAAACCAAAACTCTTCTATAGCATTTAGAAATAATTTAATATTTAAAATTCAACATAATATAAAAGGATACAAATCATTACTTATTTACTGACTATGATATTTAATTAACTATATACAGACTATTTTTAACATCAAAAATAAGAGTAAGTGAAATTAAATTTACAATTCCAATTACTCCAATAACATAAGAAGAAGCACAATAAAATTGTATGGGTGCCCAACTGTGTTGAGTTGCTAAATCACTCAACATACCAATCAGTCATAATCAATACCATTTAATAAAAGAGAACAAATAGGATTAGAAGTTATGGGACCATCATCCAACGAACCGAATGTTATAATTTATTCATTCATTGTTTCAACTTTATTCTCATTTTCTTCCGCCTCACTTTTGTCCGCTGAGTCCACAATAAAGCACCCAGAATTGATACAGGTGGTGGTATAGGATTCCTAGTGAGTCTAAAATAATAGATTCCACCATATCCTGCAGATGGCTCATTTCCACACTCAGCTCTTCCAAAAAAATCAGCAATTGAAGGTGAAATCGCTCCTCTGCTCCCGAACCATAGTCCCCGAACTGAATATTCTCTAACGAAAGTCCTCTATATATTTCTCCTGTAGGTATGGTATACGTTTTTTATAGATTTTTCCTTTTCTTTTTGTACTTTGAGATCTTGATCCTCATCATTTGTTTCAAATCTAATACTAGGATCAACTATTAGAGGCTCTTTTCCTTTCACATCAAAGGCTAAGATATCTACAAATCTCGATGAGCCTTCCATATCATACTTACACTTCCAGGAAGCAAATGTGCATTTTTGTCTGCAGGAATCTGACAATTCTACGCTTTACATTATTGTGCCGGCAGGTGGCAAAGAACATGTTATTCGGACAGTTGCCCCAGTACATGAGCTGGAGTTTACTGCCACATTCGCGGTAGAGGGGTCCCCTAATGTAATGAAATAATGTAAAAAAAACCAAAACATCCAAAATAAAAGTGAAACATGTCATTAATTGTATATTACCCTTCCCTTAATTACTTGTAAAAAGTCTGGTGTTTCCTACATTGGGCTTTGTGAGAGTGAGTATTGGCAGAGAAGTCCAAAAAAATTATCATATAATCTCAGATGAAAATGTACGACGGCACATAAAATCTCCCGATTAAAAAGGAAACATTAGTTTGTAATAATTTGTATGTATACTAAATATATATATATATATATATATATATATATATATATATATATATATATATATATATATATATATATATATATATATTTAAAACATGCTAAATATATATAATTATATATATATTTAGCATGTTTTAAATTTCCTTTCACATATGAATGACATCAAATATATGATGAAATCCTCCCAGACAATGACACAACTTTAATATTCTTTAAAATAAAGCCAGCAAAACAGAGTTCATGTATGTATCAACTACCTCTATGTAAATATCAACGGCTTTAGTGTAACTAAAGAAAAATTCATTATTTTGAAAACAGCTAATATTACAAGTTCTTAAGAAAAAAATTATTAAAAGTTTAGCTTACCTTTTGCATTGTCATCATTCATCACTGAAGAAGCGTTAGGTTTGACAACAACCAATGAGGTAAAAGGAGTGACAAACTTATACTGAAAAGTAATAAAGTAAATAAATTTGGGGAAAATATTCAATGAATTGTTTCACAAACATAACATATTTTTTAAATATAATAGAACAAAAAAAAAAAATGTTAAACAGGAGCACTTTCACACTTTTAGATCATATTCAATAACTTTATGATCAACATTATTCTAGAGACATTTCGTAAACCAAAAAATGATACTGGTACCAAGGAAAAGATGATTGAGACAAGATCTCTCTAAGCTGTTTATTACTTATTCCCCACACTTCCTCAGATTGGCTTTAAGTAGGTGACCAAGGTAGAGTTAGAACTAATTTTACTGTTCTTAATAAAAAACATTAAGTATTCAGCAGTAAAGTAAATAATTTAGAGGCCCCAAGGAAATGCAGATGATGGAGCCCTCCTTGAGAAATGCATTAAATAGTAAAATAATAATATTAATAATAATAATAAAATGCTTGGCGAACCAGAAGATTCGATGCCGACACAACCAATCGCTTATTACACACCTCCCTCCACCGTTTACTGTTCAAACCCAGTCCCTTCAGATTGGCTTTAACGCAATCTTCCCACCTTCGCTTCGGTCTAAACCTCGGATGTTTACCACTCGGTACAGCAAATATTATCCTTTTAGGAATTCTTTCATTACTAAGCCCAACAATTTTACAAGCCCATTTGATTCGTCATGATGACTCATCCTTCTTTGGCCCAAATATTCTACACAATACTTTATTTTCAAAAACCTTAAGATGTTGCACATCTCTTAATGTAAGCAGCCACGTATCGCATCCATAAAGAACTTTAGGTAATATAATGGTTTTATAGATTCTAGTTTTCAAGTTCCGGGACAAGAGGCACGAGCTAAGTAGTTTTCTCACAGAAAAATAACAAGCATTTCCCGTCTTCAGCCTACCCTTAATCTCCTATTCAATATCGTTTTTTTCTAGTAATCGTAGACCCTAGATACCTAAACTTCTCTACCTGTTCAAACTTATTACCTTTTATATCGACATAACCATTTTTGCAGCTAACCATATATTTTACCGGCTTTCATTAAAGTTGACATATTTAGTTTTATAGTTTCCATGTCTTCGCTTAACAAGACAAGGTCATCCACATAGCCAAGCATGGGTGTTTCCCACCAACATCCAACCCTTTTTCGGTAAGCATTACTTCCCTAATAGCATGTTCTAATGCCAAATTGAACAGGACAGACAAAAGGGAATCACCCTCTTTTAAACCCGAACGAACCTCCAACTTTTTGGATAAATTATTACCGACTCTAACTTTTTTTCTTATTGAAATAATAAATGGAGTTAATTGAGAATTATTTTTGAAATTACATTGAAACACAGCTCAGTAATGTTTAAGGAAGTAGCCTTTGAATAGTTGTTTCTGTCTGTCAGTTTAATTAGGTTTTGTAATAGCAATTAATAAATATGTACTTTAATATATTTAATATATTTGGTGAAATTGTTTGTTTTTTAAAACCAAACCTAAAACCTTTGTAAATAAAATGAAAATTACTTCCAAATTTATTTTCCAATCAATCATTGGCTGCATGGAAAGTCCATCTCTGAAAATATATGTATATGAAACATTGATACAATGATATTCAAGAGTTTGAAAATTATATGAATTCAAACAAAAAGAACACTTACTTTTAAAGCTAATTCTTTCACTTTACTTTCAATTGTTTCATTCTTAGTTACTGTATTTTGATCAAGAAGGGTTTTAATAGTTCTATAAGCCCACATTTTTTCCAAAAATCCTACAAAATATAAATATATATATAAATTGTATCTTAATTTAAATAATATAAGACAGTTTAGATCATACTTTTAAGAAGATTAGTCTTTAATTGAATTTAATAATTAGTTTTTGATGTTCACCATAACATCCTATATATTTCTATAGATATAACATTAGCCCCCCTTTTTTTTATCATCTACATCACCATTTTTAGCATACATGAGGAGGGGTGTTTTTTAGAGGTTCAAATCTATTCTCAATAGAGTGGGAAGATCAAGAATCATTTCCTTTTTTTTTTTTGTTCTCCCCTTCCTCATCTGGCTATACAGGGCTTTTCCTGGGCAAAGAGAGAGGGAAGGGGGATTAACACCAGAATTAAAAGACTTCTTTCTCCCCCCTCCCCCGAACTCATAATTATTATTATTTTATCATGTAAACATTGGTTTATCATGTAGCCGGATAATGCGTGTTTAGCACAGGTCTGAATGTGTCTGCACACAAAATAAATTTTAACTCACCTAGGCCAGATTCAAACAAGTGCCGCTATACTTAAAAATTTTAAAGTGGAGAACACACTAACACAATTTCCCACCATAGCTTCTAAACTGACATTAACTCACCGCAGGAGACTAAGGTTGTTATTATATCACAGAGTTCAAGTCATATTTTGGATACCAAACAACATCCGTAATGTTTCACATTAAAAATTATGTCAAGTGGTGATTTTATTTGGCAGAATTATAGGATTTTTCATTTACAGATTTTAAAAAAAAACATTAAATCAATAATTTAAAATCTGAAGAAAGAAGTCTACTTCTTAATCAATTACATCTAATATTCTATTAACAGACACAATGGAGTGAGAAAGTCTCAGTAATTAAGTTAGATATGCCACTTAAGAAAACCTTAAGAATAATAAATAAAAATAAATTTTACCAAATTTTTCAGTTTGATTTTCCAAAGGCAATCTGATTATTTGTTCAATAGGAATTGAGAAGAATTTTATTCCCTGTGATGTCATGGCTGAAATTTTTCCTGAAACTGTATGATTATCCTTAGCTTTGCCAAACACTAACATTGAGGATCCAGAAAACAGATTTTTTACATGAGGAGTAGTATTTTCTACCTGTAAATATTATAATGTAATCCAATTCATTAAACATATTATTTGTATTTCTTTATTACAATAAAATGTTTACTTTATAAAAAAAAAAACATGTTTATTATAAATAAAAATTGCCTGATTTCATTCCATAGACAGTGATGAAATCATGAGAAATGATAAAGCAGTGCTTAATAAAATTCAAAATATGTACTAACTGAACTGAATTTTAAGATTTTAATAAAATTTCCTTGATTAATCATTAAAATGTGAGATATTCAAATCCTTGGGGACTGCTATGATGCTTCAAGAAGGATAATATTTCGATTTTCTGAAAATTATATCTCAAAGTTATTTAAAATTGTTACCTGATCAGGTAAGTATTCAAATATGACATTAGATAAGACTGGTGATGCAACTTCTTTGTAAAAATTGTTCAACTGTAAAGCTGCATCTGAGTCTTCATATATCCTTCTAGCAAAACCATTGTTTGCAAGAGATAGCTTTCTCAAAAAGTTAATATCTGCATCTGATCCGAAACCGAGAGAAAATATTGTCACCCTTAAAAAAAAAATAAAAAAATGTAGCAGATGGTTGTTTGTATCACTGGTTCTCAAACTTATTTTAACAAGGAATCGTTGTTGAGTTAAAAGTTTTTGCAGCACTAGTTGGAATTAAAAAAAAATCATGGTACAGTTTCTCTTAAAGCAGTGATTTAATCGATTTTTTATTGCATTTGGTCCAGATATAACCTTAAATTTTATTGGTTTTAATAAATATTAATTTATAAATTTTTAGAATATCTATTAACCAAATTGATAGTTTTGACCTTAAATATAAAATACTCAAATTAAGTATTATTGCTGCGGTACCACAAGCATAAGCTTTCAGTACCCAGTTTGGGAAGCTCTGGGTTATGTATAGTAACATAATTAAATAATGTAGCTGCAATTCATCTCCTATTGACTAATTCAGTTAAACCAAAGATTTGATGATTTTTTTTTTCATTATTCTTTTGTTGTTATTTTATTACATGTAATTATGAATGAAAATATAACTAATGACTATGAAGTACTGTTTAAGTTGAAACAATAAATAATCTTACTTTTCAGTGTTACGCTTTTTAACATTTTCAATTATTTTATCTGGATCAGACTCCTCATAATTAGGCTCTCCATCAGTCAGAAATATTATCATAGCCTCAATCGGTTTGTCTGCTTTCTGGAAAATTTGTTGTCCTATGCGAGCAATGTCAATACCAGCTCTCAATCCTCCATTAATATTTGTACCTATCAATTGATTGTCACAGATTACACTATGGTAAACATTTCTTTAAAAATGAACAAACTATTCCAACATTGTTATTTGATAACTGTTAATTTATATTTCAATAAATGTATATTTAAAACACAAGGGAGATTATATAATCTCATAATTTAGTCTTGGCTAAATAAAAGAAATAATCTCTGGATAAGTAATTTAAATGTTATTTAGAATACAATGATTTTTTTCACAGTTTATCCTATACTTTTTGAAAGTATAATGGCTTTTATAGAGAAAAAGATACTCAACCCAAAGAAAACAATGAAAATATTAAAAGTTGTCAAAGCTATAAACAATCACTAAAAATCAGTGTCATAACTATTGTGGAGTAGTTGAAGCAATTTGCTCTAGCTGCCTGTTAAGAAGTGGCATCTTATCATGAAATACCAAGAAAAATTAACACAACTTACAATTATAATAATTTCAACATCACGAAAACAAACCATTTAATTGTTGATTAAAAAAAAATATTTCAAACACTTTAAAACATCAGAGTTGAACACAGAGTTGGGTTCTTGATTTAATATATTTGAAGATCTGAGTAATTTTCAACAAAAATGAAAATAAAGTAAAAGTTTTACAAATAAAAAAAATGAAATTAGGAACAAATATTTACTTCCATAGTCTGAAATACTCTTCATAAATTGCTTAGCCAATTCAATATTGGTTCGATTTGCTGAAATCACATTATCTTCTGTCACTGGAACCTGCTTTGGTTCTGTTACATCGCCAAGATAGGGCTCATCAAGAATTTTAAGATCTACTCCATTTAATTTCCAAGGCTAAAAATATTTTAAAAAAGAAATTTAATATTCATTTTACAATAATAAAATATATTGGGGCAAATGGTTCATATTGGGTACTCATATTTTTAAAAATTAGTTGTCAATCATTTTATAATATGTAGCTTTAATCCACATGAAATGTTAGTATTTGCAAAAAAAAAATTACTTTCTATTTGGACTGAAAAATATTTTACTGTTGATCGTAAATAATAAAAAACTGTTTTATGATACATAAAAAACAAACACTCCAAGCATTAACTAATCGTTTTTGAAATTGTGAGTTTTAATAAATAAAAGCAAGTTCTACTCATGAGTAAATTATCATCAGACTGCACTTCTACATATCTCACAAACTGATTTTTATTCCAGATTAAAAACCATTTATTTGAATTTCACTAACTAAAGCTTAAATATAAGTAATGAAATATCTCATTTAGAAACTCTAAAAAAATGTTTAGGAAAAGTTATCCTATTTAACTCTACCGTCACATCTACATTGTTCAGGAATTTAGGGTCTTAAAAAATGGGAAGCAATCGAATCTGCCCAACTGAATTAGTTAGCATCTTTACCGTTGAGGAAGGAACACAGCAAATTATGTTGTCGGCTTTGAAATAGGAAGCCATCCTATCAAGATTTTCATCCTAAAGATTATAAACTATTGGACAAAATTTACCTTCATGTCTGACGACAGGCTACTGAACAGTGCTTCAATAGGCAAGTTCATCTTGATTCAGTGGGAGTGGATGAGAAATACAATTGGATATTTAAGTAAAATCATTGGTAATGCTTATTGGTTATAGACAGGATTTCACATGTTTGTCTCTGAACATATTGATCAATCAAAGGATGACATACCAGAAAAAATAAACAGCCATAGCCTGTCTCTGGATATAGGCTAAGGTTTTTTATTTTTTTGGTCTCTGGATATTCAGTACAAACAGATATCAATCCTATAGATAAATATCAAATTTTTTAATATATTTTATGAAATAGAGCCATAGAAGGAGCAAGGATTATAATGAAGCATGAGGTTTTTAAGATAGTAGAGAAATGGAAGCCAGTAAATTCACAGATATTAACAATTAACATAAATCCACATTTGAAACTGGAGCCTAATACAGATTTATACTCCTACATACAATCTGAACACCCTAGATAAAGAGCAGTTCTATGAAAACCTGGAGCATTTCATGATTAAGAACAAAAAAAAAAATAACAGCCGTATCCTTATTATGGGATAGTTAAATGTACGAACAGACAATGACCACACGGTGAGATGGCCTCATAAGGATGTGAGAGGGTAAAGAATGATAGAGAACACCAGTTACTTGAGTTTTGTATGGAAAATGACATCTTCCTGCAGAAAGACAAACAAACAGCGTTATTGATTAATTAATATATTGCACCATGAAATCAGAAGGTTTTTCACAGATGTAAAGGTTATTAGAGATGCAGAGATAGGAAGTGACTATATGTTACTAATTTCAAACTCTTAGTTGCTTAAAGAACGCAAGAAGAAGCTATAAACATATGATATGATCAAGATGAAAAAGTTTGATGCCCCTCACATTGAACAGCAATATGATGATGAACTAAGAGGAAGACTGCAGGAATTGGATGCAGATGCAACCCTTGATGATGTCTGGAATCATATCAAGGATGATATCTTGCAGTCAGCTGCACTTGTCTGTGGATACAAGATAAACTTATTTGGCCATGTCATCAGGACTGGAAGAACACAGAGATCCACTGAAAACTATGGATATTGCTCCAAATGGTAGAATGTCGCGAGACCAACCAAGTATGTCATACCTATAATATGTCGACCATTTGTGCAAAAGGAGAGGAAAAGATCTCTGTCAAGATAAGAACCTAAGAACAGCAGCAATCCTAGTTAAATGTACCCTTACGCTAATAAGCACAACAGGGTGATGCAAAAGAAGAAGAATATTTTATCTGCAGAAAACTATTTGTTGTGTAGAGTCAACCTAAATAAATTAAAATACGCTAGCTTGTTAAGAATCAGCAGCCAAGAAAATATCTGGGATATGGGAAATAAAACTTTATCACTTAAGAGAAATGAATTCTGCAATATCAGTAACCATTTTATCTCCAATGACCTATATCATATTGTACTTCACTGCGCTAAGTTTAATGAGTAGCGAGAAAAATATTTGAGACACTATTTTACTTCTGCTTGTGACCAGCTAAGCATAGAGGCAATTCTCGATATTAAGTGTGGATAAACTAAATAAAATATATTATTTATATGCCAGTCTATAAATAAATTAATTTTAATATTAAAAAAGGAAATATTTCATCAGTAATTTATTCACTTTTAGTTTTCTTTTTCTTTTTACATATCTGGTTTTATTTTCTCTATGTAGGGTTAAAAAAACAGTTGTCGGCATCCCACCCAGTTTTTGGCACTCACTGTAGTTATTGAAGAATAAGTGTTAGGAATGGTCTAGAGCTAGCGAAAGGCACTCATTTGAAGCTGGAATCCCTCCTGCGCTTGCATATTCTACCATCTCCCACTACTTATTTAGTATGGAGTGTCGAAAACTGGTACTTCAGGGTGTTGGAAACTGGCGCATATAGATATTTTTACATTTTTCAGTTTTACTGTAAAAAGTAAATGAAAGACACTATTTCACATATATATTTTGAAATCAGAGATCTTTACTGACTTAACAGAACCAAAATTGTTGAACCGAGTACCCACGCAATTGAAAATGGAACAAATACATTTTAAAGTTAACTTAAGGGTACCAAAAACTCGAGGTTTTATCCTATAGGTATTACATTATGTATATGAGCCAGATCGTTAAACTAATCCATAAAGCTTAGTAATTATTTATTGTATTTTACTTATAAAAGAAGCACCTAAGCTGCTTAGTGCACAATGCACATGATAAGTAACTAGATCCTTTTTTACATTAACCTTCGACTAAACTATACATTAAAATGAAAATGCTTACCAACACTTCAGCAGAGAATAAAACAATACTGAAGAAGTCATTTTCTGATAAATCTGACAAAATTTTTTCCATTGCCTGTTTTAGTTGGGTTATCTTTTTTAGATGCATTGAAGCACTTACATCCAATACAAAAACAGCATGTTTGTTCAAAGGAGGTAACTTATCATTCCGAAAAATATGAACAAAATGTCCATCTTGGTCAATCTAAACAAAAAAATGAATCTGATTTAAAAAATATGAAGTAAAAGGATCATAATATTGATGTAATAATGTTTTATTATTACTAAAATCTGCTGTGAAATTTGGGAGGAATCGACATCAAACTTAACTATCATTTGACCATTTAAACCTTCAGCATTCAATTCCTTTTGTTCTTCTTCACTGGGAGACCACTTAACTTCAACCTTAGTAGGAGTTATTTCTTTCTTTTCGGCCATAGGATTCTCTATAATTCATCATATAAATATAATTTCTCAAGTTATTCATCAAAAAATCACATAATATTATTTAATATATTAAATGATTTCTGATTATATAAGTATTAAGGGTTATAATGAAAACATAGAATTTTATTACATATTCATTTTCTAATAAAAATAATCTCCAAATGAGTAACAAAATTTTGTTTTTTGTTTTCTGAGACATCATAATAGTAATTTGAAAACAATTACATTGATAGCATCAATGTTATATAGATTGTTATTTGTTTTTGTTTTTTAAACAATCCAAGATCCAATGATTGGGATAATGATCTAAATAAAATATATTTGGATCATAGAGAGAACTGAAAGCAAAACACTGACATTCAGATGTGGCAACAATACCTGCCCTTTTCTCTTATAAAAGATAAATAAAATTCTCTAAACATAAAAGAATCAGCAAATCTTTACTTATAATTTTTATTGCAATCATCATGTAGTAAAAACTGATTTAATTAGCAATTCATCTATTACACAATTCATCATAAACAATAGCCCAAAAGTCATGAATTCTTACCAGAATCTGTTGCATCTATTTCATTGCTCATTTTAAAATTTGGTACTTTACAATTTATGATATTAAGTGCATCTTCAATGATTACATGGATTGATAAATCTTGAACTATCTGAAACCAATACCATCAACCAATAAATATAATTTTCACTTTTTTTCAAACACTTGTTACAGTAATTTTTAAATTTGTTTACCTGATTAGGATTAACATTAATCACATTTGTATAAGTTTGGTTCTTCCTTGACAATAATTCTTCATACCTCAGCTCAAATGTTACCTTTTCTTCTGCTTCCAGATTAACATTCACTGTGAAATCTTTGGAGTCTCGAGAGCTGAAAGATTAATCTTTATCTATCATTGTTATCTATTTAATAGACGAGCATTTGAATTATACGATTAAATTTAAATTTTAAAGCAGTACTGAATAAACTTTCACACAACTTCTCTTTCAGGTTATATCACTCGAAACATCAATTAAAAAAAAAAAAAAAATATATATATATATATATATACATATATATATATATATATATATATATATATATATATATATATTTATATATATATTGTAAAAAAGTTTGATATGTTTTGAGTTCTACATTTAAAAGTTCTATGGAAATTAAGATATCTAGTAAGTTTTCAACTAGAACCAAAAAAAAAACAAAATAAATAAAAATAACCATTTACAAAAAATAATAAAATAATGAACTGATATCAGGAACAACTAGTTTAAAATATGAAAGTGAATAATAAACAATGTTTAAAGCTGACTACACCTGCTTTGGAAAATATGTCCAGCACTTTTTCCTGCACTTACAGCAGCATCATATTCCTTCTTAGCTTCCTCTTTTTCTTTTATGTAGGCTTCATATGGTTTTTCTTTTATTATCCTAAACAAAAAGAAGTTTTCTAACAACAAATTGGTAGTCAGTTATTTTTAGTTTTTATCCAATATACTATGCTACAATTTATACTAAATTTACATCGTTATTTTGTATCGATACAACATAGTTCGATACAAACTAAATATTAAATTTAACCAGAAATTTTATTTCACAAATAAAACCAATAGCATAAGCAATTAAAAATTACAACTACTTACATAAGGAACTTAGTTATGAATGCTTCTTCTGGTAATACAACCTTAAAAGCGACCTCTTGGGAAATGTTAGCAGGGTTCAATATACGGCTGGTCACTAATGTCTTAGCATATGTGTATTTAATTTCAGACTTAATGTGAAGAGATCTTATAATTGGAGTGGGTATCTAAAATCAAAACAGAAATTGTTGCTTAACTCATTGAGTGATTAAATACTCTCATATAGTTATTGCAGCAGGGAGGGAGCGTTATTTGTTATTTGAATTAACAGTTTCTTTTTTAAATGATTCTGAAGCATCACCAAGAACAAGAATAATTAAATTAAATAATACATATTTAATATTCAAAATATTTTAATTATTATATAGTTTTGCAAAAAATACTCACTTCACATAATGTAGATATAAACAGAAAACAGCTTATCAGAAGGCACAATATTAGTTTAGAAGTAATCTGTAAATTATAAATCAGAATCAAATTAATTTGCAGTTGTCATACAAAAGCAGTTTACATTAATAACACATTTTTATATAGCAATGTAAAGAACAATGTGTAGAAGTGGATACTGTAAGTTAAGATATGACTATATTTTCATAAACACGGAACTTTGAGAGAATTAGAGGGCAAATCTTACTACACAAAACATTATTTAAAACAATCTTGTAGGATTTAAACATAATTTACTCCATAAGTACTGAATCCAAGATCCTTCATGAATGACAGGTGTTACAGGTTTTAGAAATAGATGTTGCTGATCTACTTGAGAAGAAACATCATTGCCTCATGTTAATTCCAGGAGGTGATCTCCTAGAATAAGATAGGATGGTCTTCTGTAAAATGATTGGGAAAGACTGAAATGTGCTCTATAGACATTTCTGTGCTCTAGAGCCAGGGGCCAAAAATCGACCTGATCGCAGATGAAGGTTTGATTGTAAATTACGAAAGTGTGTGTTATTCTGAGTAAAAAAAACCTTGTCTGCCGTTCCGAAGCCGCTGCTTTCAAAAATGGCGGCTGATTTAAAGAATATTAGGCCAATAATTTGAGGATCGAAACGGCAAATCCATTGCGAAAAATGTGAGAAAAGTTTTTATTTTTTTAACTTTTATATTTGGGTTTAGACATGTAAAAAACAAAATTGCTAAAGCCGGCCACCAAGGGAAAACTTTTTACAGCCAAAAAAGTAAGATTTTTTCGAAATTTTTTGTTTTTTTCACCTATAACTCCAAAACAATGCATCAAAGCGAAAAATGTATCCTTTAATTACTTAAAGAACGTTAAATTTTGCGTCAAACGAGTACATGAACTATAAAATTTGGTTACGCGGTAAGGTATAAAACCACGGTCAACCAACGCAGGGTTTTACCAAATTTGCCAAAACTGAGACAAATTACTATAAATGGACCTGTAACTTGGAAATGAGTTCTCTAAGAGGAAAAGCCCATAGAATCAAAGTTGTGGAGCATCAAATTTCACGTATACTCAGTATCAAATAATTTAATTTAGGTCACTTTCTGCGAACAAAATCGGTAATCTCCCGATGGTTAGAAATTAGTAATGAAGGTGATCAGGTAAACATGATTTTCAGTACTTCAACATTATGGTTGTCTCTTGTACTGAGTTAGTTTTGTTTAAAGTCTGTTACATGCAGTATAAGCCTCTTTTCCAGCCCTCAACAGCAAAAGATTTTGGCAAACGATGTGCTGAAAGATACCGAATTTTATAAAGGAATAACGAATCCCGATTCGAGATATATAATTGGCCAATGATAAAAACGTCAGTACTCAGTATACGCAAAATTTGATGCTCTACAACTTTGATTCTATGGGTTTTTCCTCTTAGGGAACTCATTTCCAAGTTACAGGGCCATTTATAGTAATTTGTGTCAGTTTTTGACAAATTTGGTAAAACTCAACATTGGTTGACCATGGTTTTATACCTTACCGCGTAACCAAATTAAAAAGTTTATGTACTCGTTTGACGCAAAATGTAACGTTCTTTAATTTATTAAAGAGTACATTTTTCGCTTTGATGCATGGTTTAGGAGTTACAGGTGAAAAATCCAAAAAATATCGAAAAAATCTGACTTTTTTTACTGTAAAAAGTTTTCCCTTGGTGTCTCACTTTAGCGATTTTGTTTTTTACATGTCTAAACCTATATGTAAACGTTAAAAAAATAAAAACTTTTCTCACATTTTTCGCAATGGATTTGCCTTTTCGATCCTCACATTATTGGCGTAATATTCTTTAAATCAGTCGCCATTTTTGAAAGCAGCGGCTCTGGAACGTCAGACAAGATTATTTTACTCAGAATAACATACACTTTCGTAATTTACAATCAAACCTTCCCCTGCGATCAGGTCGATTTTTGGGCCCCGGCTCCAGGGGTAATAGGATGAGTTATGACATGCTAGAACCTCATACTTGTAAAAGATTCATCATTAGGGAAAGGTCTCTCTGTGGGTATAAGATATCGCATCAAATAGAGCGTATACACCAAGTATGCCTTGTGATGAAGAACATAAGTCTAAACAACTCATTTAGCAACCAAACACTATGTTACTTGGGAGGATCTAAAGATGATCCTGGGATATATAATTTTATTCCTGGATCTACCAGTTTGAGGAAAGCATGAAAGGAAGAAGAAAAAGACTTTCCTTAATAAATGAAAAAAAACTTTATTCCTTATCAGTCCAAGAACTGTTATCTTTTGGTCATCTTTCAGGATTACTATCTAGCAAAATATGACTGATCAAACAGTTGTTTTAATTTTTTTTTTTTAATATGTTTTAAGGTATATGAGAAAGTATTTAGAGTTCCTTATTGGTTGACAAGGTAAATAATATTTTCTGAGAATCTGAAGATTGTTGATATGATTTAATGGACTCTCAATAACCTTCCAATGAACTCCAACTAGGGTATTAAGATAGGTCTTTCTAAAATCTATTTAAAGTGAAAATTAAAAAGTTGATATTTATTGAGAAAAACTTATCAGATTGTTTATTTCATAGATTGTGTAACTTCAATCTTTGATAAACAATATTTTGATTCTAGTTTGTCAACAATCAAAGACTTACTTATGCTAAATAAACACACTGTTGGTGTTACTTGTTAATTGTATAAAAATAAATTCAAATTTAAAAAAGTCCTCTCCAATAGATCATTGCATGGCTCATTGGCGGATCTGAGGGAGGCAGACGAAAAAAATTATAAAGGAAAAGAAACTTTATTTGTAAATAATTATTATTGATTGCACCCATCATTATTTGTAAGATCACTAAATTCTCTACAAAACCGAAATAAAAATTCATCGAATTCAGATCATTATTTCCAATGATACAGCTTAGTAATTTGTAAACATGTTGGTTTAAATCATGAAGTGGTAAAAGAAATATTTATTTTCCTTGGTCGATTGCCACTGCCAACAAAATTAGAATTGATTCCTGCATTTTACAATAGTTGCATTATTTTACTTCCCTATTATTCTGTGAATTGTTTACTGACCAATATAATATGCGAATTATTCGCACGGGCCGACAAGTAATAATTTCTTTTTTAACTTCTTCAAATTTTGTTCTCGAAATTTGAGTTATAATCCCGTTTTTTTTTTCTTTGATATAACATTATTATAAATCTGAGCCATGCTAGAACTATACACTAAAGTAGAAACTACAAAATAATTTAATTTAAATTGGTTTTTTTTTTCAATATGGAGTCTAAAAAAAATACATTTTGCAGATAAATATTTTTAGTATCTTAATTATTTATCTTATCATTTAATTATTTATCTTATCTGAGCATATCACCCAAGATTTACAAGAGGAATTATTTTTTCTCCAATTAGTTCCACCCCTGACACCCTAGACGCAGACTTTCCATTTTGATTGGGCAGGCGATGGATCGACAAATATAAAAAAGAAATTTGAAGTATTTTATATTATGTGTAAAAATATCTGAAATGCTGTCGAGATAAAAATATCTGAAGGCTGTCGAGGGACAGCCTTCATAACATAGATATATTTCTATAACTTTTCCAGCTAAAAATGACGAATACTAAAACACTTAAAACATATTTTTGATTTCTTGATTTGCACAACGTAGAAATAAAAATACAATGTTTTCATTGGTTTTATTGATTTAGAAATCATAAAACCCTAGGATATGTTTATACATTATTATTCCGGAATGTAAATGGAAATTTAAATAATAGGAACATTTAGATCGCGATAAAATAAGTACGTACATACTTATAAGCTTAGTCTAGCCAGCTAGTCGACTTTTCTTAATCGAATTTAGTTTACATTTTTCATTCATTCATGTAGCTCATTTGTTAACAATTTTAATTTTTTTTTTACCTCAGATTATTGGAGGGGGGGCAAAACGATATTCTTGTTCCCTCAAACATTTTATTAGGGGCGATTGCCCCCCCCCCTTCCACTCTCGCTCTATACCGAACCCTGTGTAATATATGCTATATTACACTGCTCAGTATTATCGAGTCTTTTAAAGTTATTTTTTAATTTGAAGTCATGAATTTTGTACGGTCCCACGACAGTCCTGAGGTACTCCTCTTTTAACACACTTAGTATCCCTCAATTTACAACATTATGAACGTAAGAAATAATAATTAATACGTCAGACAAAGAAAACAATTAATAATATATAAGAAACCTTATCAACTAAAATCGCTCCTAGCTTTAATTATTCATATGCAATAAAATAACATTGTAAATTTTTACGAATGAAATAAACCATAGAAAGAGATATAATTTTTTTTTTTAATTTGAATAAAATAAAACAAATTAATCTTGTTCAGGAAAAAAAAAAAAAAGAAAAGAGTAGGAGATATAAATAGTTCTCTTGAATAATCAATGAAATATGACTCAGACCAGGAAGACGTTATTGCCACCGTCATATTCAGTTGACGTGAAGCGGAAAGATTTTATCTTCGGATTGTAACTCGTTTGAAAACAAAGCTACTTTACAATATTCATGGCATTTGTCGAGGTTACAGCATCCACAAAACATTTCTAGATATGTTTGTCTTCTAGTTTTCTAATTTAAGTTTGTCCTCAAGTGGATGTTGTCGTTATGCATGGTATAATTGTCTTTGAAAATATGCAAGCTAACAAAATATTTAAGAAAACAATGTAATCTGAACCTTGGGAGATGATGTTTCATATGCAACAATATGCCTGCGCTATGAGAGGGTGGATCTGGCATAATATTGTGAAACAACTCTTTACAACCATAACTTTACTGGTTCCAATTTTCGCTCTGTATTCTCACCAACGTTAATGAGCATTGAAAACAACTATTATGACATATGGAATCATTTTATGTTCAACAATCTCAACCATGGCGATTGTAATAAATAGAGAGAGACCGTGCAGTAAAAATACGAAAAACATGCTCAAAAAATCAAAATGTACAAAATCGTGCAGTAAAAACCCAA